TACATAGAAGGGCAACTAGAAATAAAAATATATATACTTTTAAAAATTTCATTGATAAAGGCAAACATATGGTAAAGATAGTGGATCAACCACTTAAAAAACTAGTATGAAAGTTAAAAGACAAAAGTTGTGAAATTATCTAATTGTATAATAATTAATTAAAAGTTACACAAAATATAAAGATGTAAAATATGATGTTAAAAACACAAAACATGGGGGTGGGGATAAAAATGTAGTGCTTTTAGAATATAATTGAACTTAAGTGACTACCAACTTAATACACTGTTATATGTATAGGTCATTAAATATAAACCTCTTGGTAATGAAAAACTGAAATTCTACAATGGACACAAAAATAAAAATAAAGAGAAATGAAGCTAAACATAACACTAAAAAAAGTCATCAAATCACAAGGAAAGAGTGCACAGGAAGAAGAAACAGGGAAGTACAAAAGGGAAACAAGTACATACTTATCAATTACTAATATAAATGAACTAAACGCTCCACTCAGAAGACACAGAGTAGCTAAATTATTTTTTTTAAAGACCCACATATGGTTGCCTACAAGAGACTTACGTCTCATAGAAAGACACACACAGACTGAAAGTGAGGGATAAAAAAAATATTCCATGAAAATGGAAACAGAGAGAGCCAGAATAGCAATACTTAGATAAAATAAAATTTAATATATAAATGGTAAGAAGAGAAAAAGAAGGGCATCAAATAAGAAAAAAGGATCAATCCAACAAAAGGATATAACATTTGTAAACATCTATTCACCCTACATATTAATAGAAGCACCTAAATATATAAAGCAAATATTAACAGACATAAAGAAGAAACTTACAGCATTACAATAATAGTAGGGAACTTTAACACCGCAATTATATCAATGGATAGATCAACAAGAAAACAATGGGCATAAATGACACATTGGACCAGATGAGATTAATTTTACAGAACACTTCATTCCAAAGCAGAATAATATTCTCCAGAAATGATCACGTTAGACCACAAAACAAGTCTCAATACATCTAAGAAGACTGCAATCATATCAAGCGTCTTTTCCAGCCACTAAGGTATGACATTAGAAATTAACTACAAGAAGAACCTAGAAAAACACAAATGCATGGACGCTAAATAACATGCTTCAACAAGGTCAACAAAAAGAGCAAATAAGAAGTTCACAAATACTTTGATACAAATGAAAATGGAAATACAATCTTCCAAAATATATGGGACACAGAAAAAGCAGTTCTAAGTGGGAAAATTTATACTGATACAGGCCTACCTAAAGAAACAAGAAAAATCTCAAAAAAAAATTTCACCTTACATCAAAAGGTACTAGGAAAAAAAGTCCAAAATTATTAGAAAAAAAGAAATAATAAAGATCAGAGTAGAAATAAATGAAATAGTGACCAAAAAAAAAAAAATAGTAAAGACCAATGAAACTAAGAGCTGTTTCTTTGAAAAGATAAGTGAATTGATAAACCCTTAACTAGATTCATCAAGGACAAAAGAGAAGCCAAATAAATAAAATAAAATATGAAACATAAGTTACAACCAACACCACAGAAATACAAAAGATCATAAAATACCATGACAATTATAAACCAACAGGACAACTTAGAAAAAAATGATGAATTCCTAGAAATATACAATCTTTCAATACTGAATCAGGCGGTGAAAGACAAGTATCTTATGCTCTCACTTATAAGTGGAACTTAATCAACAAAACAAACAAGCAAGGAAAACATAACCAGCAACATTGAAAGAAAAAAGAAAACGACAGTAACAAGAGGGATGGTGGGAGGGGGTAATGGGGAAAAGAAGAAGGGTCAAATCAAGGAACATGTATAAAGGACCCGTGGACAAAGGCAAAGTGGGGAAGGATTGAGGGAGGGAGGGACGGGTGGGTGGGGCAGGGGAAAGTGGTGGTGGGAAAATGGAGACAAATGTATCTGAACAATAAAAAAAATTTTTTTAATTTTTATTTTTCGTTCAAATACATTTGTCTCCACCTTCCCACCACCACTTTCCCCTGCCCCCCTCCCCCCCAAAATTTTTTTTAAATATTACTATACAGGCTGATTACTACTAGTGAAATTGAATCATTAATCAAAAGAAATCCCAATAAATAAAAGTCCAGAACTAGATGGCTTCATAGGTACATGAATTCCACCAAACTTTTAAAGACGTTAATATATATCTTTATGGTACGACTCCAAAAAGTTGAAGAGGAAAAACTACTTTCAGCCTCATTCTGCAAGACCAGCATTACCCTGACACCAAAGCAAAGAAAGACACTACAAAAAGAAAAAGAAAAAATAAAGAATATTGAAGGCCAGTATCCCCGATAAACATAGATGCAAAAATCCTTAACAAAATATTAGTAAACTCAATTCAACAATATCTTAAAAGAAAGGACCATACACCACAATGCTAGTGGGATTTATTTCTCAGTCAATACCCACAAATCAATCAACTTGATACTCCCCATTAACACAATGAAAGATAAAAATTATATGATTATCTCAATAGATGCAGAAAAAGCATTTAACGAAATTCAGCATCCACTTGTAATTAAAAACTGTCAACAAAATGGATATGATATGGAGGGGACAAATATCAGCATAACAAGGGCCATATAGGACAAACCCACAGCTAACATAATACTCAATGGTAAAAAGCTAAAACCTTTTCCTCTAAGATGAGGAACATAACAAGGATGCCCACGCTCGACACTTTTATTCAACATAGTATTGGAAGTCCTAGCCACAGCAATCAGATGACGAAAAGAAATAAATAGCTTCCTAATTAGAAAGAAGTAGTAAAATTGTGACTATTTGAAGGTGGCATGATTTTTACATATAGAAAACACTGGACTCCTCCAAAAGAAACTACTAAACCTAATAAGTGAACTCAGTGAAGTTGCAGGGTGCAAACCCAATACACAGCAATCTGTTGCAATTCTATGCACTATAACAACTTATCAAAATGAGAAATAAAAAAAAAATCCCCATTACAATTACATCAAAAGAATAAAATACCCAGCAATAAATTTAACCAAGGAGGTGAAAGGCCTGTACTTAGAAAACTATAACATACTGATGAAAAATATTGATGATAAAATATTGATAAAAAAGATATAAAGTGCTCATAAACTAGAAGAGTTAGTATTGTTAAAATGTCTATACTACCCAAAGCACTCTAGAGATTCAGTGCAATTGCTATCAAAATAGTAATGGCATCTTTCACAGAACTAGAACAAATAATCCAAAAATGTGTTTGGATCTGCAAAAAACCCCAAATAGCCATGGCAATCTTGAGAAAGGAGAACAAAGCTACCATGCTTCCTGATTTCAAACTATGCTATGAAGCTATAATAATCAAAACAGCATGGTACTCATAACAAAACAGACATGGAGATCAAAGGAAAAGAATACTGAGCCCAGAAATAAATCCACATTTATGTGGTCAATTAATCTATGACAAAGGAGAGAAGAATATGCCATGAGGAAAAGACAGTCTCTTCAATGCACGCCGTTGGAAAAACTGGACAACTATCTGCAAAAGAATGAAACTAGACCACTTTATTATATCATACACAAAAATAAACTGAAAATGGATTAAAACTTAAAAGTAAGACATGAAATCATAAAAGTCCTAGAAGAAGACACAGACAATAAATTCTTTGATATTGGTCTTAGCAATCATTTTTTTGGATCTGCCTCCTCAAGGAAAGGCAACAAAAGCAAAAACAAACAAACGGACTACATCAAACTAAAATGTTTTTATACAATGAAGAAAACCATCAACAAAACAAAAAAGCGACCTACTGAATGGGAGTAGATATTAGCAAATATATCCAATAAGGGGTTAATGTCTAAAACATATTAAGAACTTCTACAATTCAATATTTTAAAAATCCGATTTAAAAATGGGCAGATAATCTAAATAGACATTTTTCCTAAGACAACATACAGATGGCCAAAAAGCAAAACAAGATTCTCAATATCACTAATCATCAGGGAAATTCAAATCAAAACCACAATGAGATATCGCTCACACTTGTCAGAATGGTTATAATCAAAAAGACAACAAATAACAAGCATTAGTAAGGATGTAGAGAAAAGGGAACCCTTGTACACCATTGGTAGGATTGTAAATTAGTGCAGCCACTATGGAAAACAGTATGGAAGTTCCTTAAAAAGTTAAAAATAGAATACCACATGATCCAGCAATTCCACTTCTGGGTATATATCCAAAGAAAATAAAAACACTAATTAGAAAACATGTGCACCCCTAATTTTATTGCAGCACTGTTTACAGTATCCAAGATATGGAAGCAAACTAAGGGGTTATGGACAGATGAATGAATAAAGATTTAATATATCTTACACACACACACACACACACACACACACACACACCACACACAGGAATATTACTCAGTCATAAAAATAATGAAATCTTGTCATTGAAGACAACAAAGATAGACCCAGAACCTACTATGCTGAATAAAACAAGTCAGACAGAGAAAGAAAAATACTGTATGATTTAACTTACATGTGGAATCTAAAACAAACACATAAAATAGAAAAAGACCCAGATTTAGAAAGCAAAATGATGATTGTCAGAGAGAAGGGGATTGAGGATATGGGCCAAATAGGTGAAGGGGGTTAAGTACATTATTCCACTTATAAAATAAATAAGCCATAAAAATGTAATGTACAACATGGGGATATAGTCAATAATATTGTAAGATTTTTGTATGGTGGCAGAATGTTACTAGAGACTCATCATGGTGATCATCTTGTAAGTATATAAACATCAAATTCTTATGTTGTAATCCTGAAACTAATATAACACATGGCAACTATACGTCAATAAATATAAAAATATATTGCTTTCAAAGATAATATATCTATATATACACACTGCAAAACGAACTGGAAACAAGCATTTGAACAATCCAACAATCATAGGCGACCATTTACCTGAACAAACAAAGCAATGATGGCGATTCCATGTGGCTTTCCCACAGCTTCATCAATACTGCCAAACAGGGTGGAGTTCCAGTGGATCAGATGCAACTGGGTGAGCAACAATAGACAAGTCACCTTGTTACTTAATATCCTTTCATTTAGAAAATCAAAGACACATCAACTTTCATATATATATATATATGTGTGTGTATATATATATATATATATATAGTATCATATGCAACATGAATATCACAAATAGACTACTGCTTTAATACAGGTTCTCTGCAGGGATATCTTCCTTATTTCTGAACAGAAGCAATGCTTAGTGGACTGCTGCCTCTCCAATCCTGCTTTTCCTAATCAGGACCACATCAAAGGGGACTGGCAGATTTCACATTGATTTCATTGCCTTTCTTTGTCATACCCTCTGGATCTCAATGGAATAGAACTCTGGGTCAGGGCAGAAACACTAGAACTCATTCAAAGGATCAGCACCTGCAGTATTTCCGTCAAGAATAAGACAAGGCCAGTCTCAAATTCTGGTAAATTACTTAAGCCCTCTAAGCATTATCCAGGGATAGGATCCTATAAAGCTGCATCTTTTTAAAGCTATGGTAAAACAACGAAAGCTGATAAGGAGTGCTAAAAGGAGGCCATTTCCTGCCCTGGAGATAAAGTTTTATCTGAGGGAACACAAACAATGCTCTAGAGGACTCCCTCACTCCTGGTCTCCTAAAGCTTTGTAGCTTTCAAATTTATCTAGAAAATGCACTTGTGCCTATAGCCCTGATAAAACTCTTGCAAGAAGCCAGATTCAATCCCCTGGCTAAAATTAAATGGCCACTGAGGTTCTTAGTATAGCAGTAGCCAGGTAAGCCTCTGCCTAGAATACCATCTTTGTCACTATAGCTTTTAATCAGGTTATAATTACTCACTATCTTAAAACATTGCCTCACTTAAAAATTAGTTCCAATACAAAAAAACATAGTTAAAATTCAATCACCATGTCATTTTATCATCCATATTAAAGTATTATAGAAAATTATCATGAGGATTGCCACAATTTTGATTTTTCTGCTAAATTTGTCCAAGAACCTGAGATTCTACAACTGACCACTAGAGGGAGGTAATGAAGTCTTCTGCTCATGAATTAGGAATGGTAGCCTAGGAAAAGACCATACCCAAGACTAGGGTCGGGTCAGGCTATGAAAAAGTCACACGGCCTATGACTGCCCAATAAATGTAACTGTCAAGGCACTGCCGTTAAGAAAATATTTTATAACCTTTCAGTTAATAATCAAGGACCAACCAATTTTAACCTTTCCCTTTCGGGCTCTAACAATAGTACAGGAGTCCCAGCGGTACAGACAAGTGTACCGTGGTGCTGATAAGAACTGATTGCCTTAATTAAATCAAGAAAGAAGGCCCAAGGTTGAAATTTAATTTTATTTGACAAATTACAAAGTTCAAATCAACATTTTTCTTACTTCTCACAGCCACATTATGGGGTATTTTTTTTTTCTGATACAAAACAAAAAAAAAGGCCCTTTATTTTTTTTTTTATCATGTTGACAATTCAGCAACATCGTCACTCACACCAGCTCCTCAAATCTTCTTCACATTTTTTGTGTTTAAAAAATTTAAGGGCACCCACTCCTTAAGTGTGTGCTACACATGGTGGCTTCATTTCCAAGCATGTAGTACAGAAGTGTAGTAACTTTACAATGGAGAAATCTGACAAACACTACCTGAGCCAGGTGTTGAAGGTCAACATCAACAGTTATCAGTCATGCTGATAGTACAGATGGTTAATTCAAGTACCAAGCAAATTTCCACCACGTTCTGGAGATCAGTTATAACCTGGTACATATTTTTTATGTAGTAGTAACCTTGATGCACAATCCACAAACATAACACTCCACAGTTTATTGCCTCTTAGTTTTAGCTTGCTCTGTGCTCTACGAACCCCTCTTCACTCTATCTGTATTATTCTGCTAGGACACCATGAAAAAGAACCACAGATTGAGTGGTGCAAACAATAAATATTTATTTTCTCACAGTTCTGAAATCTGGATTCCAAATCAAGGTTTGTTTTCTTCTGAGGCCTCTCTCCTTGACTTGCAGGTGTCTGCCTTTTCCTTGTGTCCTCATATCATCTTTTCTCTGGGCACATCTGTGTCCCAGTTTCCTCTTCTCATAAGGGCACCAGTCATACTGGATTAGGCCCTGCCCTAACAACCTCATTTTAGTCTACTTACCTCTACCAAGATCCTGTCTCCAAATATGATCACATTCCGATGTACTAGGAGTTAAACTTCAAAATATGAATAGGGTAGGGCCTAATTCAGCTTATACCACCATCTATCTCATCTTCTCGTCATCTTAATGAATTTTTTCCAGATCTCAAAAGCCTGAATTTTTCACAACAATTTCTGTTCTCCCACAGTCCCATTTTAATTCCTATCATCTTGTATTTCACCTTATACTAGTGTTGCTCTGTTCCAAAAAGCAAAGCCCTATGGATACAGGAAAATTATCAGTGCATTTGAAGAACTAAGAGTACCCTGTGGGTACTAAAGGGTACATAAGTCTGGCAGTGATAGGAAAGATGAGGCTGGAAAGTTAGAGGGGTTCAGATTGCACAGAGCTTTGAATTTTATCATAATTGTGTTTTGGGAATCACTAAAGCAATGCTGCAGTGAATATTATTATTACTTACGCTGCTTAGACTCGAACAAACTCCCCCATACCAATGTCTTTCCTTCAAAGGTCCTTTTGGCTGTATGGGGGTGAATTGGAAGTGTTAGACATGGGAGGCTGGAAGATAAGCTAGGATGCTACCACAAGGGTTCCAGTTGGAAAATATGATAAACACATAGGACAGTTAATTTTATGTGCTGACATGGCTAGGCTATGGTGCCCAGTTTGTTGGTCAAACACTAGTCTAGATGTTGCTATGAAGGTAGCTTTTTAGATATGATAACCTTTAAATGAGTAGACTTCGACTGAAGCAGATTACTCTCTGTAACAAAGGTGGGCCCCATCTATTAGTTGAAAAAGCCTTATAAGCACAGACTAAGGTACCTACTTTGAAGGGAGTTCTATGTACAATGTTTCTTGTATCTTGCATCTTCTTCAGTGAATGTCTCTAGTTTTCATATTACATGGCTGGATACCTTTTGGACAGACCTCATATAAATGTTTGTCTGGAAAACCCTAACTAATACAGGTTGTACAAACAAATTTTTTTTTAAAAAAGCATAAAGATGAATGGAGGTTTAAATCTGAACAAGACTAGTAGGAATAAAGACAGGGCTCTAACAATTAAAATGACAATATTTGGAATTTATTCTCCTAACACTAAACATGGTTCCTTTGGGGCTAGGGAAATCGGGGACAAAACAACCCACTGCTGAGTATCAGAAAAAACAAATTAGAGCTTCTGCACATATTTATCCAGTGCCTTTTTAATTTCCATTCTCCTATGCTTCACAAAATAGATTTGATAGGTAGGTAGGTAGGAAGAAACAAAGAGAGAGAGAAAATGAAAATAAAATTAGTACATGAATGTAATTTATTAATAAATAGGGACATATTAAGGATATATGCTCCAAATTTCCTTTATAAACACATGGTTTTGAATGGGAAGACATGTGATGCCAAGACTATGGCTTATAACATGAAGAGGCGGCCCACGGAGCCTAAGGGAGGCGCAGCAGAGGTCCAAGCAGACAGTTACTATCAGGCCAGGGGAGTTGGAAGATGAATTTCAAAGCCAGAGTGAGACAGGCTCTGGGGTGTGTCTGGTCTACCGCAGAGCAGAGAACGCAGAGGCAGAAACCCAGCGCACCTTTGCAACTCTATTGATCAATTCTTAGAGGCAACATGCTCTCATAAAAGACCTCTGAGCCGGGAATCACAAGCTTTGGATTCTTGTTTCAGTTCCACAACTCTTCAGTTCTGTGAACTTCACAAGGCGCTAACTTCTCTGGGTATCAGACTCATGTAAGGAGTGCTATCTCTTAAAAGCTTGGCTTCTTCACAGCTTCTTCTGACCTCCCAGAGTACTCTCTCTATTCCCGTATTCTTATCATGTTTTGCTGTAGATGTAGCCAGCAAAGGCATGGAAGCAAGGTTACGCATTCTGAGGGTGGAGAGCAGCTTAACAATTTGTAGTAAAGACCAAGTATGTAAATGTCTCTTACCACTTCTAAGGAGTTACATTGTATTATTACTACATCTGTTACCTAGACTCAGAGAGTCCCGCCCTCCTCAGTCACTTCAGCCCTTGAGGGTCCCCTGGACTAAAGGTGACACCAGGCAGGACTCATGCTCACTAAGGCCTTCTGGAACCGTGTGAACACACAGTCCAGCGGGTGGCAAAAGGGCTGTCTCTTGAAGTGTGAACCCAAACTTCAACTGCGGCTACTGACAACAACAGTTGGGGAAAAAAGGAACAAGAATTCTTCCTCAACTGACACAATGAGCAGTTCTCCATTCTCCCTTCACTGATTCTCCCACGAAAGACAAAAGGTTTTGGATTCCTCCCAACTCAGGTATGTCAGAGCAGAGGAAAATGGTTTTCTATAACAATTAAAACTTGCCGTGGCTGGTGGGGCTCAATGGATTGAGTATTGGCCTGCAAGCCAAAGGGCTGCCAGTTCGATTCCCGGTTGGATCACATGCCTGGATTGCGGGCCAGGCCCCCGGTAGGGGGCGCACAAAAGGCAACCACACATTGATGTTTCTTTCCTCCTTTCTCCCTCCCTTCCCCTCTGTTTAAAAATAAATAAATAAAATATTTCTTTTTTAAAAAAGCTGAGCCTTTTCTCAGTTCTTCCATTTTCCCCCCATACTCCCCAACCACAGAGGCCTCAATGTAGGTGGATAGATGTGCCCTTGCGTTTGCTAACAATGTACATTTTACAAAGAAATAAAAAAAGAAAAGATACATTATCACTCTATCAGCATCATAATCATCATTCCTTCCTATTTAAAAAAAAAAAATCTGACCATAGGATAACAACCATGAACATCCTCTTCATGGTTTTAGAGAAAATCTTTGACTGAGTGTTTCCCATAGGGCTCACAAATTCAAAGTGCCT